TTTCGTTTTGATATTCTTTTCTAGGGTTTTATCATCGGGCACATAACTCCAGAAGCTCAAGTGGGTGGGCCCATAGCTTTAATTCGCAATGGTGATATCGTCTCTATCGATGCCGAGAGTCGTGTCATTGATGTCGAGGTTCCTGACACAGAGTTGGAAAAAAGGAGGCAGCAATTTTCTCCAAAAGAGGTGAAAGTCAAGCGTGGAACTTTGGGAAAATATATCAGATTGGTCAGGAGTGCCAGCGAAGGATGTGTCACTGATGAACCATAGACTGTAAAATTTCTGTGCTTGGGGAGTTAGATAGTTGTTAGCATTTGTTATGTGTTCCAAACCTCTCGTTAGGAAAAAGAAATGAGAGATGTGGTTAGAAAATGGGTTTTCGTTTAAATCCTGGCGGCAGACCGGAAGAGGGAATAAAAATGCTTTAAAATCGCCCTTAATAGTATAAAAGTGTCTGTTTCTCAGAAGGGGAATCAGTTCGAATTTTCGCATTGCTAAATTATGGTTTGATATTGTTAACGTATATACTATGTAAAATTTACTTGTTATTATGTGCTATTTGTTCAGTACGCTGTCGTGAGGAAACGATAACATACTGTGTCATTGTCCTTAATACTACAAATTTTGAATGTTTGCTAGAAAGGAATGGAATTTTTGAATGTTACTAAATTAATTCACTATTGTTATGTTTGGTATTTTTAACGTTTGTTAATGTGTTTTAAATGTTCTTTCTTCTGGCTTTAAGTTCGTGACATATTTTTGGTATTTCGTTATTTTTGTGATGTAATTTGGTCTTGAAAGGGAGGAAAGGAGAGAAAAATCATCACCAACATATATTATAACTCAGAGACTTTACGACTATGATATTATAAGTTGGTATGTATTGAAAAATACAACTTACTATCTTTGAAACTGTTAAGATATTTAATCGGCATTATGAATTGAAACTGTTGACCAGGGATGTCATATCTGTTAAGATTTAGAGCAAGATCAGAATTATTTATTAAGGAAGTAGAAGGTTTCCTAAACTACGCGTTGATGCGTTTTACCATGTACGTTGCATGATTAGCCACTTATGCCAGAAATATAACAAATAATAATTGCTAAGTTAACTACTTTATCATACAAAATGACTAAATGTAACCTAACTAAGCTAAATATAAACAATAACATATTGTAAACTTGATGTGTGTTTTGGAGAGATGTCACCACGAGGTCCTGACCCAGAACGTCCAGCGGATATTGCTAGAGATGTCCCGGGGACGTCGCGGGGATATGTTGGAGATATCCTAGGACGATGTCACAGAGTCATTCCAAGGCGACGATATCCTCGAGACATCTTTGGTGAGGATGTCCCCGGAACGTGTGCTGTAAATCATCGCGGCGCGAGGACATCCTGAGGACATCTTGAGGGGAGGTCGCGAAGATATCCCAGGAGACGTCCTAAGGACATCACCGGATCTTGGGTGTGTATACTAAAAATAGTCAGGTGTTTCGTTTTTCGTCAAATTTTGGGTAGATTAAAGAGATTATTTAGGAAAACAATTATGTCTTTGTGGATTCCTGGTCACGAGACCCTCAGGAAGGAATAAGGTGCTATGAGCACTTTATCTCATGAAAGAAACATCGAGGCATAATTATAAATTTATGGCCAATCGAATCGGTGGGGATTATTTTTCGATACAAAGGCTGAAGAAATCTTGAATAGATATGAACAAACAACAATAAGCCAATCTTTAAACACTACCCAATTAATCAACAAAAAGCTACTGTTCAATTCAAATATAATAAATTATATTGAATACATCCTCATTCGGAAAATATATATAATTTCTACACAGCATTCAAAACGTTTACCATCCTTTAAGTTTTTCCGAAAAATCGAAAAGTGGTATAAAAATCCACTCATCAAATATAGCCTTGTAAGGCTTTCCTAACGCGTATTACTCTCCCAAATTTTTTTCCAAATATCGATACCTATTTTACTACACTCTCAAGTAGTTCGATAGATTTAGATTCGGGCCCCACTCTATCTTCATGAGTTCACGACAACATACAACATCCTAACTCACGAGCATCTCTTATCATTTTTATACTATATGGCTTGAAGTATATATTGAAATACCAATTTGGAGAATACCAGTAGAACATAAACCACTCTTCGAAAGAATAAACCCATGCTCCTCTGGAAGGGATCCATCGTTGAAGTCTTTAGCACTCCATCGCTATGAATATAACAAACATCTATAAATATGTAGGAATATCATCATAATATTCTAATATCATCACAATTATCGAAAAACCCACCGTTGACAACACCTCCCAAATTGAGAATCTCAGTGCCACTCCGAACTAGACAGTGAATGTACGTCAAGACACGCAATCTGAAATCGATTCATTTTATTTGTCAATGTATTGAAGCATTGATTCAGTGAGCTTTTCTTCATTTCTTTCTCAAATGATCAATATATCCTTGAGACATTTCTCCGGCACCGAATTAAACTTTTTTCGGGATTTTTTTAGCTAATTTCTCAGGATACATGGGTCATATGCGTCATGAGATAAATATACCTCGATGTTCGTTCGTAAAATAAACTGTTCGTAGCTCCTTAATTCCTTCCTGCGCGGCTCGTGACCAGGTAATTGCAAAGACAATTTGTCTTCTCTAATTCTCTCTTATTTTTCTCGAAATTTCCTTTTTATATACCTCCAGCGTTTCTTTCAGCTTAATTGAGACTAGTCCTGACACTCGGGAAATTTGAAAGTGATACAAATCGAAAGTTTACAAATGTAGGAATTGGTGGCTTTTTAGGATAGACATATAGCGTACTTTCCCTGGCGTCACTTACTTCGTTAATGTTCCCAAAAATATCTCAGGAGATAATTGAAGAAATTTCTGCGACATCATCTCCTGGTGACGTCTATTTTCCGTCATGCCGTCATGATGTGATTGCAGATACCCGTTTTAGAAAAACTGCATCCGCAAGATAGCACTGAGGCATTCCGAGACCATATGAATATTTTGTAAGCTGTGTAGGGAATTTGGGCGATAACCTATTATTTGGTCGCTGTATTCATCCCCGGTATTTCATCTTCGACATGGACGGAAGTTGCAGGGGAACAGTTGTACCACTTTTTCATTGTAGTGCGAGGAGGAATTGAAAATTGTTCTTCATAGCTCGTTCCTTATCATAATTGTGAATTATACGAGGGCACGAGCGTGCCAAGAAGGGATATTATTTGTAGTCACTCGCTTCTCGTATGATCTGGATACATACGAAGTTCAAACGTCTTGCAATCCAGTTTTCAGAGGTAAAATATTTCATTAAATTTTGATCAGTTGAACACGTTAAACTGGTAGAAGCCAGACCAACGTTAACGACTAACACTTCACAGATAGCATTCAAACACCACAAAACCAAAAAACTCATATACATAAAACTTAGTAAGTCATGATTCCGTAATAGATCCTTCATCTCCTTTTTCTCTCTGTAAATACTAAACTCATGTCACCAATATCAAATACCGAAAATAACAAACTCGAAACTTTTAACTCATGTTAACCACATCAAACCTTACAATAGAATATAAATTTAGTAGCATGCCTCAAAACAATTTAATTACATTCCTTTCCAACAAGCAATCAAGATTCTAGTATTGAAGCCGAGGACACAGTATGTTGTCGTGAAAAATCACTGAGAGTAGTGAAAGAATATCTGGAGTCTAGAATCTAGTAGAGGTGTTTGACAGTTTAGAGAGAAGATGGGTTATTTTCCGGATATAGGAAGAGTAATTTATATATTTGGTGAACATGCCCGGCAACGGAAGTTCATTAGTAATTAAGTTGGTACACATTAACGTGAAGGAGAATGGTATAGATATTCCAAAGGAGAATATCTTCCGTACGTTTTATTATTTTGTATTGAAGGCAACTTTCTCTAATTATGTGGTGAATGAGAGATATGTTAGTGTTGCATTTATGTCATATCTGTTAATGACGAATTTATTATTTGTATTGAAGAAACCCTACGGATCATCGGTTATTGCATTATAAATCTTGTTTAAGATTTATATCCCTATTCTATCCTCGCGACAATTTTATCATTTACTCACGATAGCAGATTCGTTGAGACATTTACTTAAACCAACGCATCTTTGAAGGTAACTCGACGACGGACTGAGGCAATCCCAAGCTGTTCTCAGCTACGCACGGCACGACTGACAAGTCTCATGAAGGATATCATCAAGACATTCCGACCTTGAGATGTCACGGTGATGTCTTAATCGGGCTTCCGAGGATGCTTTTTCTAACTCTACTATGTAGGCGGATTGTTCCTAAGATATCCCAGAGATATCCTGATGCCCATATATGTCGCCATCGCAATGTCACCAGGATATCCTTTGACGAGGACCTCCTAGAGACCTCTTGCGCGCGATGTACCGGGGACATACTTTGCCCTAGGATATCCCCCAGTATATCTGATACTAAGACATCGGCATGACATCCCGGAAATATATTTGTCTCGGAGGATGTCCCCGGATCCTGGGTGAGTAATCATAACATGCGTCTGGATTTAAGTTGGTATTTTGCAGACAAGGAGAGAAGCGAACAACATCAATCAGCTGTAATGTACTAAATCTTTTATAACTACGGTTTCTTTCAATTTGTATTGGAAAGATATTATCTACTGTATGCGAAACGAATCCTTCCACTCCTCGCAACATTATTTCTTCGGATTAAAACCTATCTCCCATAAAGATTGGCAACCCAAATATTTATCTTACGTCGCCATTGCTTTTAACCATACGATGTCTCTAAACGTGGGTGCGAACTAGGAGGAAAACTGGGGAGAATAAGTTATGAAATCACAATTGCTCTTTGCAAATTTCTGGCCTGGTACCGGGACACCAATAAAATGGATAAGTTAATTACGACATTCCTCGCAGTCCCACATAAACGGAATAAGTGATCTGTAAATTTGGCTGGCCTTCCACCCGTCGTCTTAGCTCAGCTGGGAGAGCGTCAGACTGAAGAGTCATCTGAAGGCCCCGTGTTCAATCCACGGAGACGACAACAGGATGATGATAGTACTTTTTATCCTATCGTTGTCAATTCTAGATATGACGAACAGGCCTATACTTCATGCCTTTCTATGGCATTTTGTGATCCTCTCTATTTTCACAATTTTCAAGTTATTCAATCGTACTATGTACTGTGAATGGATTCAATTAATATTCCTGTCACTCCCGGGTGGTGCGGATTACCCACGGCACGATTAACAAAATATTATTGCTCGGTCAGACATCATTATTTTAGCATTCCGAGAAATCGCATGTTATTCTATGTAGGATGCTAAGAGAAATCATTTCGGTAAGCTTCATAACGAGATATGATAATGTGGAATTATTGTTCAGCATAAAGAAAAATACAAGGAATGACAGGTGTTGTATCAGATCGACTGCTTCAATCATTAGGAAGAGGGTATTTTAGCAAATCAAAACCGCCATAAGAACATATAAAGCATTTGCATCGTCATTGAAATTACATTACATAGCAATTTATGTATTGTCTGATGTCATATTGAAAAGGCAATTTATCTCAACTCATAGATTTTCCTTTTCAACATTTTCACGCACACTTCTGATGGTGGTCACTTCTTTATAAAATCAGTCATCAATACCCGATCAGCCGAGATGAATTTTCCGTGTCCAACAGCTCAAATTCATTATCCATCAATGTGCAGTTCTAATCAATTAAATCATCCTACTTTTGGCGAATAGATGAACTGAGTCCCACCAACCCCTCTATCCAGTTGCAAAGTGCGATATGAAAATGGGAGGGGGCTATTTCCCAGGATACAAACTGATATGCTTTTTATAAAGAGGCTAGAACCAAATGTGATATTTGATATCTATCGCCTTCCGCGTCCATGCGCAGTTCCTCGACCACCTCGAGAACCACCTCGACCTCTTCCACCACTATGTCCATACTCATAGACTAAGGGATCTGCAACAAATTTTGATTTTTGTTTAGGCTGAGTTGATGACGACTGATTTTTAGGTTGTTCTGGGGGCGTCGATGGATTACGAGGAAGCTGTTCTGATTTAGAGGACGGTTGGATCTGAGACGGGACTTGCTTAGTGGATGGAGGGATTCGTTTTGGTTCTGCATGCTGATCATGCAAATAATAGTTCAAGTTTGTTATAAATTTCGATTTCGGTTTTGGTCGAGTTGCAGCGGAAGATGGTTGGCCAGACTCTGCCTTGGGAGATGGCTGCTCAGTAGCCGAGTTACGAACAGCTTTGCGTTGTTGTTGTCCACTCTTAGATGAGGGCTCGGTAGAGGATGGTGCAGCGACAGATTGTTTTTGCTTTTTCTTCGACGTCTTTGACTTGCTAAGCTCATCTTTTGGATATGCTTTCTTGGGCGGTTTAGTTGGCTTGGGTGTAGATTTCTTCTTGGTCGCTTTTTTGGGAGATCTAGGTTGTTGAGCATTCTTTTTCTGCGCTTTTGATCGAAGGAATTCAATCAGCGGGGTTGTTTTAGGGTGCACTCGAGATATGGATTGCCCCGGGTTTAAAGCGAGCGATGTCTTCGAGGAGGCTGATGTTGTCGATAGGTTATCGCCGGCCACAGGCTCCTCCTTTTCCGATTTATCTTGGGCTTCTTTAAAGGTCTTAAACTCTAAAAACATCGGATCCTCCACATACATGCCGACTCTAGATTCTAATTTTTTGACGTAGTTTTTTTGAGATAATGACGAAACTTTTTGATTCAAAGCGAACTCTACGATACATCTGTACTCATTCCCTTTACTATCAACAAAGCAGTGTCCATTATAATTTTGGTAGAAACGCACCAGATCTTCGTATCGACTAAACTTAATGTACGCACGACTGTACACATTCTCCTTGCCCTTTGTTTTGTAAACTTTTCCAGGACAAAACGATTTAAATTCGAGTGCTTCAGAGACTTCATGAGGGAGAAATTGAGATGCACTCTCCCAGAAAACAGATTCTGGAAGTGATGGAGGGAGCCTACGAACAACAATTTTCAATCGGGGCAAATTTGCGTGCGATTGTTTTTTCCTGCGATTTCGAGGTTTCTTACGGGGTGCATTCGATTTGGAGGTTGCATTAGGGGATTCAAGAGGTTTTACATCGCTGGACGAGATGGAGGACATTATGACGACAGAGAGCAGGAACTGATATTGCTGAGTCGGCGAATGTCCAGGGACAAGCGATAAATCGAATTGCGGCTCCAACTTCCGAGGACTACCTGTGCAGTGTGCACGGGACGGTGGATGCGTGATTAATTGCTAATTTGCTATCTAGGAAGAACAGCTGCTGCATGCTGGCGCTATCTGCACTTGATATCTCACTCCTTTATTATTGTCGATAAGCAATACAACGCTAGACCATGTTGATGAAAGCTCATGCAACAATATTTGACAACAGCGAGAGGAAGATATCTACATTCAGCTCTCTATGATTTCTTTTAAGCAAAAAAATGGCATGTTGAGCAAAGGATGTATGCGAGGGTACAAGTCTAGTGAAACAGATATATCTGCGAAAATCATAAATCGTGTGCCGAACGAAAGTGTTTACGTGGTCACACCGTGCCCCTTCTCGACAACTCCCAGCGAACTTTGTTCTCATTTTTCACTCCCTACCATCCTATCGCACCTATTCACCACATCTCATCTCATTTTTACGGCATACCGTACGATGGCCACCACTCTCGAAGATAAGTCTATTTGGAAGGAAGACCAAGAGGCGCTAGATGATTTGGGCCAGGAAATCTTGCGCGCCGGGAATGATGAAATCGCCAACAGAACTAGACTTCTGGAAAATGACATTAAAGTAGGTATACCAAAGAAGTACTTCTCCCCTGTTTTTAATTCTTATTGCTCTCTTGGTGTGTTGCCACCAATTTCAGTGGGATTATCTGCAATGCCTTTGCTGCGCTTAAAGATTGATGACGACAGCAGGCTGGACTTCATTTTCCCCTCGAAATGCATTCAAGTTTCAATCAAGTCGCCTTTGTGCATTATACTATATTATTGCATGGCTTCAACTCTATAGATGTTTTAACCATATGCTGATATCTGTTTAGGTAATGCGATCGGAATTGATGCGCCTACAACATGAGCAATCATCTATGAAGGAAAAGATAAAAGATAACAAGGAAAAAATCAAAATGAACAAACAACTGCCATATTTAGTTGGTAACGTGGTGGAAGTTTGTTATCATAAGAGTATCTTCAAAGTAAATTGCAGAATATTAAATTCCTTCATCCCATAGCTACTCGATATGGATCCTGATAGCGAAGAGCAGGAGGAGGGTGCAAATGTTGATTTGGATGCTGTTCGGAAAGGAAAGTGTGCCGTTATTAAGACTTCTACACGACAGGTAAATAGTTTGTAGCTTGGTGGACTTGCTTTAGTAGCGACGATTGCTCTATCGCGCCCTGATTAGTCTGTTTTCTAATTCTTTCTATGATCAGACAATTTTTCTCCCTATGGTTGGACTTGTCGATGCAGAGAAGCTAAAGCCTGGCGATTTAGTTGGTGTCAACAAAGACAGCTATTTAATTTTGGACACCCTGCCCGCAGAATACGATTCACGAGTGAAAGCTATGGAAGTCGATGAAAAACCGACTGAAGATTATAACGACATCGGTGGATTAGACAAACAAATCGAAGAGTTGGTGGAGGCCATCGTTCTACCTATGACGCATATGGACCGTTTCAAAAATTTAGGAATCAAGCCCCCGAAAGGTATTGTTATTCCGTAGTGGCCGGAAGCGCTCTTACTTACACAATTCGCTGGTTTAGGTGCTTTAATGTACGGACCTCCTGGTACCGGAAAGACTCTACTTGCGCGTGCTTGCGCTGCACAAACAAATTCCACTTTCCTAAAATTGGCTGGTCCCCAACTTGTCCAGGTATGATGATGACTATTTGTTGCGTTTTGCTTCTAATTTTTGATCTTATAATTGGTGGCCTGTTCTACTATCCGTAGATGTTTATCGGTGACGGGGCAAAGCTTGTCCGTGATGCATTTGCTTTGGCCAAAGAAAAATCCCCCGCCATCATTTTCATTGATGAAATAGACGCCATCGGTACAAAGCGGTTTGATAGCGAAAAAAGCGGTGACCGAGAGGTACAAAGAACGATGTTGGAGCTTTTGAATCAGTTAGATGGATTCTCAAGCGATGAGAGAATCAAAGTATGAATAACATGACAAAATTGGGTGACCGCTGTTTGTATCTGATCGCGTTCTTCTATCTCGTAGGTGATCGCTGCGACGAACCGTATCGATATTTTAGATCCTGCTCTTCTCCGCTCCGGACGTCTTGACCGTAAAATTGAATTCCCTCACCCGAATGAAGAAGCACGAGCTCGTATCATTCAAATTCATAGTCGCAAGATGACGGTTTCACCTGATGTGAATTATGAAGAGCTAGCAAGATGCTGCGATGAGTTCAATGGTGCTCAATGCAAAGCTATATGTGTTGAAGCAGGGATGATTGCACTCAGGAGGGGTGGGACTGTTATATCTCATGAAGATTTCATGGATGGTTCGTTTTGTCGTTCATTTCTTTATTCAGCGTGGTTGGCTGTAAATTGATCTGTTTTGCTTGTTATGTAGCAATCCAAGAAGTGCAAGCCAAGAAGAAAACCAATTTACAATACTACGCTTAAGAGTATGGGGAATGTCCCATTGGGTTCTTTGTCGGGAAAGCGTGTGAGAGGGATAAAGACGCAGTTATCAACGCTGTATAATTCAGTCATCTGATGTTCATTTGAGAAACAACTGGAATAAATTTAGCGGCGATCAGCGTCTGTATTCTTAAAGGAAGGTTCCCGACGACTGACACGCGCCGATAGTAAACAAACATCTCGTTATGTTTCGCCGAATAATATTGGTACGAAAAGTTACAGATACTCGCTGCTACAAAATGCAAACAGCACAATCATCATCAGTCCTCCGCCTTCCTTTACAGAGAGAGGGTAATCTTATTACTCTGGTCCAGTCGCAAGCTCCTGCCCCTTCCACTATTGTTTCTC